TTAGCTAGCACTAGCTAGCAAGTTCTGTTGGCTTGTTTTAGACAATGAAAAAAGATGATGCGAGTTGTGCATTCAGAAATACTCATTCCGAGTGCCGGAGCGCACTTTGGCAGACTGGACCGTTTGGAAATTTGGAGAGCTGTCTGAATGCACCGTTCGTTATCCAGAGCACCGCACTCTTAGAGTGGTCATTTCATCTTATCACATTTAACCATAGTTGTCTCCGTTTTTGTTGACGGGCAGTGTTTTGAGCCACGACTCCTTCTATTCTGGCTCCCAATAACACGACAAGACGACATTTTAAGACTCCTATGTAGCCTACAGCCCTGTGGTGGAGAGTCGTGTTTTGTCTCCAGCTAATGAAATGACGTCATTCTTGACATCGGCCCCAGCGTCTATACTTGCTATTTTGAGTGCATTCACATTGGAAAATATGGCAAATGCAGTGCACTATTACGCCCTTTCCACCAATGTGGTTCTGTCTTGGTTCCTGAACCATTCAGAGCATTTCATTTGGTTTGATAACTGAAAAGTTGGTTCCCTGTCGGAACCAAAAAATGTCATTTTTTTTTCTTAACTTGAAATGCGAACTGTGATGCTCTCAATGGGCGTGTCATATTCTACAGGTTGGAAAGACAGGAAGGAAGGCAACAAGAGAGACTTTGAGAAATCATTTTTTAAAAAAGAGCATGCAGTGGTTAATAATTGGTCCATGCTTGTTTTGTATGTTTGTATCGAACAAACATCTGTAATTTAATCAGGACTACTTTAGTCAAAGTAAACTGGTATGGCTCTGTTTTGGGGCCTCTCTGCCTTTCCTAGGCCTACGCAGACATCCACATGCCTACGTGGAAAGCCAAATGGGAGAGAGCAAACCTCCCTGCCCTTCCATGCGCCTACATGGAAAGCCCAAGGCAGGGAGAGCAGCAGCAAAGACCCCCCCAGGAACAGAACAGAGCAGCATCAGTGCCAAACAGAAATGACACTGATAAGTCAGACAAAGCATACAAAAGGAGGGGCTGGGGTGGAGGCAGGTTGCAAAGCAGCTTGCAGAGGAAGCAGCAACAGTAGGCAGGCCAGAGCAGTTTAAATAGGGCAGAAGTCATAATTCCACAGTTTGGCTACTATGAAAATTGGCTTCAAAACTCAGTAGTGGGAAGTAAGTACGGAGTGTACGCAGTGTTCTACGTGTCAGTGTACTATGAGGAGTATCTGATTTGAGACACAGTGCTATACTTTCTGCAATTTGGATGAACCAGCCCTTTAAAGTCTCCTCCACGCGCTATTAAAGACAGTATGAATGAATCATGACTCGACCCAGACCGCCGGACAGTCTCATTAGTCACAACGATTTCCACATCACAGGTTATTTAGACATCCACAGAGGTAAAATGTTTACAATCTATACAAACAAATTCATCCTCCTGGGCAGCGTCTGTGCAGTCGATTGCAACGATTGCATTAAGGGAGCTGCCACCGCTCCAAATTGTGTTTTGATGTCGACCTGGTCACCAGCTGCGCGGGAGAAAATGATGTACCTTGCACTTAAATGAATTACGGCAGCTCACACTGTGGGCATGACACAGCTCAGAGATGTCCGGACTGTGAAACGCTCCTGTTGCCAGGAGCTTGAGAGCTGGGAAAAACCTGGAGTCGCTTTTCTCCTCGGTGTCTGCTGCGCTGAAACAGATCCCAGGTCAGCCGACACTTTGAACAGAAAAGCTCTTTGAAATCAGAAGCGGCACATTACTGGGTGTTATTATCATAGGCCAGTAAATCAGCTCCGTCCTCCAAAGGCTTGCTCTCACCTCAGTCTTTTGTCAAGCAGTGTCCTCTAACAGCACCAGAGCAACTATCATAACACCGTGAGCGTCCATTACACACTGATAGATTTTAACAATTTGGATTCATAACAGCTGTAGCTCTCATTTCCCATCTAATATGTGTTATTCCACAAATCATTGTTTACGCTCATGATAATAAAAAAAGACTGAGTCTTCACAGGATGCCCATTTTTTCAAAATTGGTGGATAATGGATTGTTTCTGAAATGTGTTTGGGGTCGGTCATGGGGAAATGATTAAGCCTTTTCCAGCCATGATTTTCAGACTATTACACTAAAATGACCCGCTTTGTTTGCAGGAATTTAACCATAAAATTAAGTAGAAACAGGTGGTTTCCCCCTCCCTGATTCATGGTTATTACCTTCATGCTTCATGGTTTAATCACTCTGTTACCAGGCAAGAAATGACACTATTTGAAACTTCTTTAATAATATTACCATAAAACAAAAGAGGGGATGTTTTGGATGGTGACTGAATGAGTAAAGCCTTGTTTTCTTCTCATTATTGATGTTTACTTCTCTGCATTTTCTTGCAGTAGTAAAGATATTAAATTGATTTTATGCCAGACAACCATAACCATAAGATTACCTCATCATTATTAGCATAACGCCCTGTTATTAACTCATTATTCTATTTTCTTCTCTTAATAACATTCCAGCATCTTTATATTACCACCATGAATTAAGTATTTCTGGGCATTTGTGCACAAGAGGATGTGAGAAAGACACATGCAATGAAGGTTCTCTAGGTAGTGTCGATGCAAATATAAAGTGATTATTCAACATTTACTGGGAACAAGCCCTCCCAAGTTTAGGGGAGACTCCTGGGTACAAGAACCCATTTTCATTTAGATATCTTGAGGTGAGAGTCCGAGCGAGGGACCCATTTAAATATGGCCTTGCCAGTTGTTGCTTCGACAAAATGAAGCCTTAGTTTGGAGCATTATTTAGGCCCTGATTACACAGGATGCATTTTAGCAGCTGGAGGCAGCTTTTTCTAATTGTTTTTAATGAGAATTAAGCTTTTTGCTTGCTTCAACTCAAAGCGGAACAATGCCCCATGACCTCTCAGCCTTTTCCCCATTGTCCAATCAGATGATTTGAGAGGCGGGCCTTCTGTGGTGGTCACCACAACAAGTTTACAGTTGGTAAACAATGGAGGAGAAACTGGTGGTAACTGTTGCTGGATACCCAGAGCTATACGGGCCGACGATAGACAGCAGGTTGCCAAAGTGCCCCTGATTCATCCTAAAATATGCCTGGAAACGGCCATCATGGAGGAGAAGCTCCTGGACCAACTGGTGGTACTCCCCATGATACACCCTCTTTTTTAGGGTCTCATGTACCCACACAGATCTCTGTTTCCCTGTGCCCAACAAACTATTTACTGACAGCCTCTCACCCTCAACCAGAGCTACAGCAAGTACCCTCTGCCTCAACATTTTAAGAACTAGATACTAATTACTGTCAAATAAACAAAATAAACAGTACACTGATTGTGACCTGTGTGATCAGGGCCTTAGGTTGCCTTCTTCCACAAGATATCACTATGTAGGAGAGATGGGACCAAGTCACACATGTGCAAGTCTCAAGTAAGTCTTAAAGTCTCAAGTAAGTCTCAAGTCTTAATCTTCAAGTCTCAAGTAAGTCCCAAGTCATTTTTTCTTGGGCAAGTCAAGTCAAGTCACAGGTTATGTCAAGTCAAGTCAAGTCAAGTCAAGTCAAGTCCTGTAATAGGTCAAGTCAAGTCCAAGTCAAGTCACCTTATTATTGTAATTTTACCTGCAGAATCTGATCTTAATAAAGTGAAAAGACAAGATATAAGTAACTGTCAGTAAACATTGACTTCATCGCTGCAATGTTTGCTTTGCAGGAACGACCCCCATGTGTGTGCTCACACACACACACACACGCACACACACACAAATTAACCAAGGCAGCAGCCAAAATCACCCATTTAACTCATTTAACCCTGTGCTGCTCGTTCATAAAACGTACAGCCGGTCTTGTGATGAACCGGTCGAAATGTTCGCTCACGTTTTCTGGGGTTAATGTTAGCAAATAAATTAAAAAACAAGTTTCACCAAACCGAAAACATGATGTGAATAACACTCAAGTCATTCAAGTCATCGTGTCTCAAGTCAAGTCCCTAGTCTTTAACTTCCAAGTCCGAGTCAAGTCTCAAGTCTTTTATTTTTTGTCAATTCAAGTCACAAGTCATCAAAACAGCAACTCGAGTCGACTCGAGTCCAAGTCACAATGACTCGAGTCCCCATCTCTGCTATGTTCACGCTAGCTCAAAAATGTATTGCATCACAGCCTCTCTAAGAAGGTACAATTGGCCTCCAGTTTTTTTTCACCAGGAGACAGTGCCAGTGGATGGGTTAGCAAGTGTATTGGGGGCCATGCCGCATTATGTGTGCTAATGATATTACAATACACAACTTGGTGCAGTGCCACGTGATGTGGGAATACGTTACACTGACGGGTCCCCCATACCAAATCCTCCTAAGGGTCCCCAGGCGTCTAGGTCCAGCCATGGGCTTTGTCATATTGTACCCCTTTTTTTATTTTTTTATTTATTTATTTATTTTTTGCACACATCATAGTCCATATAGTGAAAAATTTAAAAAAAAAAAAGCGTCAGGACAGGTCAAGAAGCCACAAGCTTATACGAATGAACCTCAACTTAAGAAGAAAAATGGACATTGACAAAAAAAAGGGGGGAAGTTGACAAAAGAACTAAACTAACATTATAAGGAAAAACAACAACAACAGGAAGCAGTGAAAAATAATAATAAATCTAATAAAAACCAAGAAATTCTTGAAATACAGTGTGGAGAAAAAAGAATACAAGGGAAAATATATATTATAAAAAAGGGGGAAAAATATATATCCTATTGTTGAGCATTTGCTGATATGTTTGCCCTATGATTGTCTTCATGTTTATGCCCTGTTGTTATTCATTATATTTCCATTGTTTTTTGGCGTAGTACCTAATTATTATCTTGTATTTGCATAATGATGAGCATCAACATCAGTCTGTCAGAAGAAACTCTGGATCCAAACAAAAACAACAAATTGATAGAGAGAAAAGTTCTCAACAAAATAATATAAATAAAACACATTAATTCCTTTTACTCTCTCTCCGTCTCTAGGCGTGTCGATGCCTATTCCAGTGATCGGCCTCCACAACGAGGACAAGGTCTTTGTCAACGGCAGCTGTGTCCTCAACGAGGAGCGCTTTATGCTCATTGGCTCCTTCGTGGCCTTCTTCATCCCACTGGTCATCATGGTGGTGACATACTGCCTCACCATACAGGTAGTCATGTCTGAGTGTGCCTTCCGAAACTCTATGTCCTCACTCCACAACCCCCTGCCTCTTTCACCTCATCCTTTATTCACTTCCTGTCCTCTCCAGGTGCTCCAGAGGCAGGCCACCGTCTTCCTGTATGAGGCAAAGACTTCCTCCCAGCAGCCTTTGCACACACCAGCAATGACAAACACATTGCAGCCTCCACCCAGCACCTTCCACCTTCCTCAGATCAACACACACTCTCCTTCAGACTCACAAGGTAAGAACTGAGCAGGCTTTTAGCTGATGAGAATTGGTTCATTTCAACAGAACAATCACCCATAAAATATTTTTAATTGAGGAATTTATGTGAATTATTCAGTCTGAACCCATCAGCAGCACCCATATGTTTTATCACTATTAAATGAAGGATGAAAACAACTGTTGATGGTGGTGGTTATAACCTTTGACGAGCCTTATGTTGGTATTTTATCTTGTTTTCCTCCGCTGGAGATTGTAACCACTCCACACACACTTGTATAAATCCACAAATGAAACCACGCAGAAGCAGTTTGTGTCCAAGAATCGCTGCATATTTTTATTTCCATTTAAATAAAGAAAGATGGTCCCACTGCAGCCCAGCACCAACAGTATGCTCTGTGTATACATCGTATCAGCTAATTCACCAGCAGTATATTGTGGTTGTGGCGCTGACTGAGCAGACAGCAGCTATCTGTCCGATCAGTCTGGACAGCACATGGACAGCTGGCTCCTGATTCGGAGTCGAGCCTCAGCTTCAACAGTTGAGATCAAATTGCATGATGAGGCACCTCATCCTCTGGCACAGGGGAGGTTCTCAAAGTTTTGATGACTTGGTGCCAAATTGAGGAGCCACCATATGATTAAGGGCCGCAGAGGTCAGGACATGCGGTGTCGGCCACTTTCGCCAAGCCATCCTACATAAACTCTCCATCACTGAGCTGCTTACTGCGACTAGCAACTTCATGAGCTACCTAGAGGCTAGATTGGGCCACTGAAAATACAAGAACCATGATTGAATTTCAGGAATAGGGTATAGAAAATAGGGTAATTGATATCTGTGTCAATGTGGAAAGTTAAGGAATTGCATACCAATATAAAACATAGTCTATTTATTTAAGACATCAAGACTATTTTTGCATTGATCTCAGTCTCTGGACCTTTGTCTGGCTTTCTACCTCAGTAACATTGGTGTGCGGGTATCTCCTCTGCCATCCCTACCCTGATATTCTCACCCTAACTCTTACCAGACTTAGGGCCTGTCCCAATACCCACACTTCCCCGAGCAATACCCACTTGCACTTGGTTGTGCATGTTCACATTTAGGCTAGTGGTGTCCCAAAACAGAATTGAGTTAGTGGAAGTGGTTTCCAAGACCAAAATCCACCCTAGATTCCAAGGGAGCCCCGACCCACACTTTCAACGAAGTGAAGTGGAAGATGAAATTTCCCAGAACACCTTGCGAAGTCATATAGACTACAATTTGTTACTGTACGATTGGAATGTAGGCTATACAAACAACAGATGGTTGGACTAGCGTAAACTCATCAGCAACTGGGTTGAACACAGCGTCAGAATATTCAAACAAATCGACTTACCTGAACAAAAGCGATCTTGCGTCACTACTACGCGTGACGTATGCCTGCACCTCGGCCACGCTGATTTGCTTGAAGTGGTGTCTCATTTCTTAGGGAAAGCTCTCTACCCTAATATTTCTCACTTCCCTCATCAAGGGTTATCTCGCAAACGAGGGCACTCAATACCAAGTGGAAGATTTAAGGGGTAGAAATGGGATTTGGCCTAGCTCCTCTTGCCATTCAGGTACCTCCTCTGCCATCCTTTCGTGTTTGTCGACTGTACCAATGCACCAACAACAAACTTTTTTGTTGCCCCAAGTAGGCACAGTTTCACAGCAGCTGAAAGAATATCAGGGTAAGCCAGTCAGAGGCAGAGTGAGGCAGAGTAGGGCTGGTAGTGCCTTGTCCATCCTAGGAGTCCCCCGAGGTCCGATGTTGTACGAGTTAATCCATTTTTCCTGAAACCTCCTTTTCTTCTCAACCATACAGCAGTTTTTCCATGGTGGCTTTTCCATTACACTTCGACATTAAACTGCTGAGTTTTTCTCTGAAAGCTTTAACTTAAGCTTACAGCGCTAGCATCGATGACCGAACATAATTCCCCCAACACTCCCAAGGTGCGACAAGTTGTCATTCCTATCCTGATAGATGCTTGTTAAGGGGGTGCAGTTTGACGCAGTAGCCAAGTAGTGTATTAAATGTAATATATTGAAAGTGAAAGTAGTGAAATGACCCCAGAGGAATAAACTATAATGGATGCATTTCATCTCAGGTTTGAGAGGGAGCACAAAAGGGCTGCCATTGACCCAAGGGTCACACTTTGAGCACCTACGGCATCCCGAACAGAGAAAATTGTAACTGAAACATTCCTCTCATGTTTAACCTTTTCCTCTCTCCAAGATGCCAGCAGCCTTGTTAACAAAAAATGTGGCATGCATTCACTGGTTTGCTGTCCTAAGTGAAATCGGCAGCAGTTTTCTTGGTAGCTGAGCTGGAAGGTGTCATGGTGATAACTCCCATCCTTCAGATTTGGGGCTGACAAACTTTTGGCAAAAGCAGAATTTTGCATTTACAGTCTTTTTCTGTTAGTGAATCAAATTGTTTTCTTTTTCATGCAATCTGGTTTGTGGTTGAGCAAATGTGATTGCAGATCCTTGACCTCTTACCTCTTACCTCTCCCACAGAGCTGAAGCCCCCGCCTCCTCAGAGCAGACGGAACACCTTGAGCTGTCTGAAAGGAGCAGAGCCCAGCATACTGCTCACCACGCCAGACAGCATAAGCATCATTCCCAGCTCGGAAGTGGCGTCTCAGCTCAGCTCGCCGGCTGCGGGGCCAGGGCGGAGCGACACGTCGGGGTGCCACGGGCGACGGGGGATGATGCAGGCCATAAAGAACGAGAGGCGGGCCTCCAAGGTGAGAATGAAGAGTGGAGCTGAGGGCTTGTCAGGTGATTTTAGGTGTTTCAGGGGTCGCAGACATGTAATGTAACGGCTAGGTGATAAACAGATAAATACACTCAGTGGAAGAAGTACTGAACCTCAATATTTGTGTGGATATCTGTTGGCTGTGATTGGTTGGTCCCAGCCACATGACATGCAGTGCGCGCTCCTGCATTCCAATAGTTGAACTCAACCGCCACAGCCTTAAAAATAGGTGCTCAGGAACAATGGTGTATGAGTGTGCCTGCCGCGCATCTACATTTTTACATTTTGTACTCAAACAAGGTATTGAAAACATTTCTGGTATCAGTCCCAAGCCTCAGGTATAATTTATGTTACGATCAAAAATTTAAACAATACTCAGCCCTTCTTGGAGGAGGTGCAGAGATGGTTATTAAAGCAATACTTCACCTGCAAAATGACCATTTGCGTATCAGTTACTCACCGTGTGTTACCTTTAAATTCATGACGAAAACTTTATTTTTCCTGCATGCCTCCATGGTGGACTGAGAATCCAAAATAGCAAACCTTCTTCATGAATTGAAGCCATTGGGATCCATGTTTAACAACAGCAAAACTACATCAAAACATCTGTTTACACACTCTCACACAACTCGTGCAGTATAATCTAAGTCTCATTTATCCAGTCATATGCTCAGTACTTCCCTGACACATGCAATGTCCCTAAAATGTTACTATCTAAAACACTCAAATGCATGTGTGTGCCCAGGCACGCTGCTCGGCCATGCATGAAACTGTACTCATGTATTTTAAATCCTGATGGTTTAGTGAATCATGTTTTTGGTGACCTGAGGAATTAATCTGGAAATGAGTTAGATGACAGTGGATCAAAATAGTGAAGTTGTGGGCCAATAAACTAAAACAAGGAGCTAAGAGTTGCTGTAGAGCTGCAGCGATTTGGTGATAATTCTCTGAGGGTTTGTCAGAACAAGCTACTCCTGTCACATTATACACTGTCATTTGAACCACAGTTTACATATCGTACTATATAATGACGAAAACTCTGTGTGTGTGTGTGTGTGTGTGTGTGTGTGTTCCACGTTTTTCTCCTCACTGACTTGATCAATCCATGTGAAATTTGGCACAGTGGTAGAGGGTCATGGGAGGATGCGAATGAAGCAATATTACATCAACTGGCCAAAGGGGGGCGCTATAGCAACCGATTGAATTTGCAAACTTTGAATGGGCATATCTCATGCCCCGTATGTTGTAGAGACATGAAACTTTGCACAGAGACGCCTCTCCTCATGAGGAACACATTTGCCTCAAGAACCCATAACTTCCGGTTGTATAGATTTTCTGACATTTTGAATTTTTTGAAAAACACTTAAAATCGATCTCTTCCTAGGAAGTTTCACCGATCTGCATGAAACTCTGTGAACATAATCTAGGGACCAATATCTAAAGTTCCCTCTTGGCAAAAGTTGGAAAACTTACTAAAACTGAGCTTCTATAAAGCAATGAATATTGCGGAGGGCGTGGCTCATCACATAAAGGTGTATAACATCTCAAGGGTTTCACCGATCACCACGCAACTTTGTAGGCGTATGACCACACATAATCTGAGGGGACCCCTCCATTATTGACCCCATCAAACAAAATGGGGGCGCTAGAGAGCTAATTTCTTATCTAGGCCTAACCGCCATATCGAGTTTTACTAAACTTGGTAGATATGTAGAACAGGACACCTCAAGGTGACTGGAGAATTTAACTCTAATTGGCAACTGGGTGGCGCTATAACAACAGAAAAATGCTTAAAAATGGCTAAAATGCGACTGATCACTGTGGCTCTCCCAGTGGACCAATGTTGTTTTTTCTTCTAATTTTTGGCATGACTAAGTCATGGTATGGTATGCTGTACATAATCACAGAAACTGTCAGTGTGTCATTCTGTCAGTCAGTCATTCTGTCTGTCCCACGTTTTTCTACTCACTGACGTGGTCAATCTATGTGAAACTGCACATCAGCATTGCGTATTGGCATAGGTATATGTAGAAGGTGACAAAGCTACCAATGGGTATGGACTAGTGAAATATTATTAATGCGGTTTTAAAACTATATTTCTTGCTTGCAGTGTACAAACACCTTGTATATTGAAACAAACCAATCAAAATCCTCAAAACATATTCGCATAAAATTGCTGACCCGTAGATATTGTGAGATTATGATCCTCTTTGTCCTGATGTTCATACTGACGGCTTGCACCTACATTTAATGCTCTGTGTGCAGCGGCTAAATTTGTCTGTCTTTGAAGACCAAGAGAGATGTCTCTACACAGGAAGTTTCATATGTCTCCTCTGAGATGGTTAGAAGAGCTCATGTTATCAAATCCAGCCAGACGCTTAGAGCAACGTCAAAAAGCTTGAAGCATTGCTGGAGTCACAGAGTGCTCAGAGGGTGCTCTGCTGTGGCTTTGCTGAATTCAAATTCATGTTGGATGAAAACCAAAGCACTTTTGCACCTGTATCAAAAATCCAAGTCCCTGTAGAAGTGGCACACTGAAAATGATATTGAAGGGGACGTACTGTGATCATTTTCAGGTTTATACTTGTATTTTGGGTTTCTACTAGATCATGTTTTACATTCAAAACGCATGTATTCACCCTCTATCTGAAACATTCTATTTTAGCGCCTGTCTTTGGCCACTTTTAATATGAACATCTGGCATTTTAATATTGTGTTAACACCAAACATGATGCGATACTTACGCAAGTTTGAACGCTAATTATTTTGTGTTCATTTGCTTCATACACGCGAATAACTGGTGTCATATGCATGTGAAATCGCTGAATTGATGGATGAACTTCTGCCCCTTTGCTTCTTTTAACTTTTCTTTTCTCCTCTCTCTTTCCCCAGGTCCTTGGAATCGTCTTCTTCCTCTTCCTCATCATGTGGTGTCCCTTCTTCATCACCAATGTTACCTTCGTCCTGTGCCGCGGCTCCTGCAACGAGTCACTGCTCAATGACCTCCTCAACGTCTTCGTCTGGGTGGGCTACATCTCCTCCGGGGTGAACCCTCTCGTCTACACCCTCTTCAATAAGACCTACAGGAGAGCATTCTCCAGCTACATCAGGTGCCAGTACAAAGTCGGGGCCAACGCAGCTGGACAGAGTTGCAAAACCCTCCTAGTCCCCCCGCCGTGCCCATCGCACGCCGTGACCCCTCTTCTGATGGGCAGTCACGGGAAAGATGGCATGGACCGCAATAGTAACTGTCGCAACGGCGGCAGGGGGGATAACGGGAGGTTGACGGTGGACCCGGAGGACATGACAGATGATGAAACACAAATCGGAATAGTGTCACAGAGCCTCTCCGAATGCCAAAACATCGGCATGCTTTCGGAAACAGAGCCGGAAACGGAGGTGGAGCAGGAGCTGTCGCTCATCAGCTACAGCCCCGCCTCCAGAGAACACACCAGCAGCGTGTGATTGCGTGCTTTTACTTTGTTGTCTTCTGTTTTTTTTTAACCTGCAGACACTGGGCCGTTTCGACGCGCTGGTGCTGGAAGCCCACAGTGATTCTATAGGCTGTAAACCTGCAGTGGGTGCTTTAATTGTGGAGGGACTAGTCTCAGTTGAGGAGCCTTATCCGCCACACTGAAGTGCATGACTTACCGCAATGTGTGAGAGAAATCAGCGTACCAGAGAAGTTAAGCTCTAAGATGAAAAAGTTTTGGAATGAAAGCCAATATTTCACACGTGTTTGTTTTTTATTTGGTGTGAAAATGTTGGTTTTCAGACCATAAATGGAGGGTAAAAGCATGAAGATGTGCTCTGCAGTCACAAATTGAGGTTTACTTCATGGGGACGGAGGTACCAGACAGGGACAAAGTCACAAGAGGCAGCCAGTGAAGAGCTTATCCTCATTGTCAACCTGGTATGAAGTCAGGCGGCCCTCGATGGAGTCCCACTGATGCAGGTTACAGAGTCGAGCACCGACCTCTGGGGTCAAACGACGACTTCAAGCCTTCACACAGAGTCCAAATGCAGTCCGAGCTCTGGGTTGTGTGGATTCTCTCCGCACCAAGCAAACTAAACCAAATCTATTTTTGTGCCGGTCAAGCTTGACAACAGTCATAGAATATATCCGAATGAAACTTTCCAGCATGTATAATCAAACCATTCAGCCGACAGAAATTGGATTTTTTCTGCAAAGGAAACTTTCTCCAGGCTGCAGCAGTCAAAAGTTTGTCTTTGAGGACCGAGATGAAGGAATGTACAACGGCCACTGGTCTCTGGTGGACTCACAGTGCCATCTGGTGGTCGCACAACACAGAGAGGTCACTTCCCTTGGATTGAACAAGGGGGCTAAAAGAGCTAAAAACATGGCGCAGGCCTTTGGTCCAACACAACTGTCAGGCCCTTGCTTCTGTTGACCAATACACCAACTTTGGAAATAATTAAACCCCCAACTTCTAAAGATTTTACTGACAAGAATTTAAAATAAAAGGGAACAATCTAAAATTAAACATGATTTTTTTAACATAAGGGTGCACAAGTGTTCCTCAGATGTCATCCTTAAAAGGAACAGAATATATAGATTTTATTTATCAGCTAAAGCTTACTATCATTACTGTCATCAGTTAGCCAGCATTACCACAGATTCACCTTCATATAATAATATAACATTAACGTTCCAAGATCTTCCTCAGTTGCGATTACACTTTACCCAAAAATAGTGGATATTCATGCATCAGCAGTCACATTAATAAAGGAAATCTATCTATGTTTCGCACATCTAATGATGCAAATTCAGCACATGCATCTTGAAATTGTTGTCCTACATGAGTAGCCAACAACCAGCCACCTACTTAATATACATATCATATTATCAGAGTACATATCAGAGTATGGGCATCATCTGTGGGCATAAATCCAGGCTGTTTGTGATTCAGAGCACCATCTCTGAAGGACACATTATTCAATGAACAGGAGGTTTACCTCTTAGATAATGAAGGATTTTTATTCAGCCGTTGCATCAGTGCTTTTCTCTCCAAAAACCACACCAGCCAAAATTTGCTCAGACGGTACAGTGAAAGCCAAAGAGGACAGAAAGAACATTTATGCTTACATTTAGGCATTAAGCTCTGGGTTTAAATAAGGTCCATTGGAGCATTACTGTCACATGTACGCTCCGATGACGGGTTTCAGGGTGACCGTGTGCCAATATCTCCCAAGAACTGCAGTTCTGACCCCATAACTCGATGGTCACAAACTCTTAAATCAGACTCTTTGATCTCTGGCTGCTTTACGGTCTGTTCCGCCCACGTTACCGGAGTGTGACTCAAAGACCAAATAGCTTAAGATTTCATCCGTCGCATAAAATGGACAGAAAGTCAATACGCTAAAAGACAGACCCCTGACTCTATCAAGACAGGTCGCCGGCCCTCACAGCTCTGTCACGCTGATTTTCCCGCCCTCCCTCCTGCTGCGTTTTATTGACATCTGATAGACGGCAAGATTCCTCCACCTCCATCAGCTGAAATGTCTGCAATATACTGCCTTAGAAAAGGATTCAATGTTGTTCGGGTTTTAAAGGTGGCAAACTTAGATTTCTTTGTAACAGGAGATGATGTAGGAGATTAAACCTAAAACTCGTATGCATATAGCGATTAGTTAAATAGAGCTTAATGGTTGTGTGGTAAAGGACATACATTGAGAAAATTAAGAGATCACTTAAAGGGGCACTTCACCAGTTTTACACATCAGGTTCAGTTGACCCGTCTTCTGCGGCTCTGGAGAGCATTTCCAAATTAATGAAATTACATGGTGGCGGCACGGTTGGATTTAAGCGCCAAAACTATGTATATGGGTTTAGAAAAATATCATGTTTCAATTAAGTATCAAGTAACTATGTACCAAAAATGAAAAGAAGTCAACATCGCACCAACAACATCCAACAAATTAGCACCCCAAAAGTGATGTTAGCATAACGTCACGTACTCTGCAAAGTGACATAAGTTAGGCTTAGGCAAGTAAAGTGACATAGGTTAGATTAGGTAAAGAAACATTGTGACGACATACCTTAAAGTATCACATGGTTCCAAACATGGTTCTCCTGTCATAGTGATGTCCAGTGTGATCGCACAGAAATACGTGAAATGACCAAAACTGTATCACATATTGTGTTAAAATTACCTGGTGGCAGCACGATTGGGTTTAAGCACCAAAACTACATGTTTAGGTTTAGAAAAGTATACGTTTTGGTTAAATAACTGCACTTGTTACATTTGGAAAATAAGTACTTTGTAAGGTGATACAAGTACGACACGTAACCAAAAAACAAAAGACATCAATGGTTCTTACGACATCCAATAAATTAGCGCCCCAAAAATGATGTTAGCATAAAGTTACGTACTAAATGTAAAGTCACGTAGGTTAGGTTTATGCAAGTAAAGTTACATAGGTTAGATTAGATAAAGAAACATGGTGATGACGTACCTTAAAATAACTCAAAGTTGACCTGGTTTCACGTGGTTCCAAACACGGAACCACCACACAGTCGACATCACTATGACAGGATCGTGTTGTGAACCAACACGGTCCTTTCCTGAGTGAAATCCAGCGTGATCTCACAGAAATACGTGAAATTACCACAACTGTAAAATTACCTGGTGGCAGCGTGGTTGGGTTTAAGCACCAAAACTATTTGATTCAGTTTAGAAAAAGATTGTGATTGTAGTTAAAATAACTGCATTTTTTACATACGTGATGTCAGTACATCATAAAGTGACGTTAATATATACGGTAGCGTGATGGTAGGGTTAGGGCTATGCATGGGACGCAAATATTGACTTTTAGCTTCACAGGGGACACAAACAGCGGCCCCCTAGGTGTTTTGATTGACCCATCCACCATTTGGACCTCCTCCAGACATGGACTTTCTCACTAATTATACTACCTGGGGCAGGGGTCAGCAACGTTAACCATCAAAATAGCCATTTTTGACCAAAAATAATTCTAAATAAATCTGCCTGGAGCCACAAAACATATTCGAGCCTTATGATAACTCTGCGTACCAAGTCCAAATTAGCCTATCAACATTAAAAATAGATCTAAATGAACATTCAATAATATGTTTTACCACAAGATGGCTGCTCTGCAGTGGGCTATGTATGATTATTTGTTACTTTGCAGTGTTGGCAGTGAACGCAAACCAATCTGTCCAGGCACTATTATACTCTGTGTTTACCTCTGAGTCGGAGTCACAGGTTGCCCACCACTGACCTGGGTCTTGACATTAATCATCGCCCATTGCATGACATCATTGAACCAGGGAATTTGGGCATCCACCATGACAAAGGATCCTAATTGACTTTACATTGGCAGTGTTTCCGTGGTGCCACCACTTAATTCCAACATAATATGTGCCACTACCATGTGATACAGTTTTTAGATGTCATGGTCTTGTATTTCTATGAGACCAGGTTGTGATGTCATCTTGGTTATCTTAGCTTTTCACAGAAAGCCTTCCTTAAAGCTGAAGGTCTGAGGTTTGAAAGATGTGGGCATTTAGGTGACAGAGAGATAATATTGTGTTGCATGATGGGAACTATAGTTTTTGGGTGCCTGAGTCAAGAAATCAAGATATCTCAGCCTCTGTTGCTTCAGTTTTGACCAATCTTTGTTTAATTTGTCTGTTTTTAGTCCCTCAACTTTATGGAAGTGTGATACTAAATTGCTGGAGTACCCCTTTAAATGCCAAAATACCACTGACTGACACATAGTTAATGACTGAGTTATCCTCCCAGCCTAGTTATAACCTTATTAAAGTAGATGTCACTTTTCCCAGTGATCAATATTTCATTTTGGTAATTCTGCCCTCAGGCACGAGACAGCCAAATTACAAACATCTGAATGTAAACCCTTTTTTTCACCCATAATCCCCTCCTCAAGGTCAAAGAGCAAAGGTCAAAGCCTGCAGTGGATCAATCAAATCCAGAGCCTGAGGTCTGCAGCCACCTCTGCATACAATTAGAATGAAACATAAGAACTGGGAGTCACTTCATTCTAATTCTGTGCATCTCTGTATAATTTATCCACTATTTGTATGCTACAGACTTACACAGTGGTCATTCGCACCACTTCTCTCTTCACAAGGAGAGGTCTACATGAGCTAATGTTGGCAAGCCGGCAACAACCGAGGTTTGGCCTACAAATATTGTGCATGTTTGAAGTAATGTTCAAAAGGTCCTCTCTGCCTCACTCAGTTTTGTTTTTGTTCTCTCTTTAATACTCGGAAGGAACGAACCGGCGCAGGAAGGAAAGAAAGAACAAACAAAGAGCAATCAACAAAATGCAAATTGCAAACGACTTGCAGTTCCTGCAGGCATTGTGTCTTTATCAAAATGAAAAATACCAACATTGACAACAAAAGAATAAAACGGAGAAGAGAGGACTCTGTGAACGAAGTCGAATGTTTGATCCGTCCAGGTGTGAGAAAGCAAAGAGCTACAGCCAGGCCAGCCAACTCAGTATGTCGTAATGTAATAACTATATGTTTCCCGTGTACCTGTGTGTGTACCAGGCCTGGCTCAAATTGCTATCTGAGATTGATTCAGTAACTTTTCTGGGTTTGTATCGATTGTGTTGGGCACAATGGATTGAATCGGGTTGTTCCAGCAGATGCCAATCCTGTCCGGTTCGCGGTCCAGACAGATGAAAGCAATCACTCGGAGAAAGTATCTGGAGGGATTTCAACTAATAATTCGATCCAGGTCTGGTGTGTATAGAAATAGTTGGAGCCGTTTATTGACAGAGTTTAATATCCATACATTTTAGGAGGGCTGATTTAGGCTTTTACCCTCTCCAGAAATTTGTGCAAGAACTACTTCATAAAATTAGACAGTGTTCGAAAAATCGTCTGGCTCTATGAATAAGATGAGTCATACTCAAATATTAAGAGCATATACACAAGCTTAAAGGAAAAATCCACCCAGAAATGCTTCAGCACAATATTGAAAAGCAGATTGTTTTAAATGAAGCTGGAGCCAGGAGATGGTTAGCCTAGCTTAGCATAAACACCAGAATCAGAAGGAAGTGTTAGCCTGGCTCTGTCCGAATTAAACTAAGACTTGCTAACACAAATTACTAAAGGCATTCTATCTTGTTTTTTTAAAGCACACAAAGACCGACAAGTTGTGGTTTCATGGAGACCTATTTTGCTGGAACAATTTCTTTACCAGGAGCAGTGGCATCCAGTATCTAACCCTCTGTAAAACCACAACTTGTCAGCAAGCTATGACCATAGGCGGAGTTTGAATTTTAGGTTGGGGATTCACAAAAACGAAAGAAATGTAATATACAGCTGAGGTATGGGTTACACTATCAGCCAGTGCATTTTCATATCTCAACTACTACACCCAAACAAGTGATTGCAAGAATTGCCATCACAAACTTCAGAGCACCCTCTAGCACAAACTGTATTGTTTGTAAATTCAGAGCACTGTTGAAATTTAGGCTACCATTCCGTTATTCAGAGCACCACACCCCCGAATGAAAAAAGGAACAGACCAGGTAAAAAAACAAAAAAAAAAAAAAGACGCCAAATTAAGCAGTTTCATGTTACAAGTCAGTGTTTTTTCTTCGCTTTTCAGCTTGTTGCGGAGGGGCCTCTAACTGTGGTGGTAGACATGAAAATGTGAATAGCCCCGTCTGGGCTACTGTGGAAACATGGTGGTGCAATGTGGTGATCTCTGTAAGAGAAAACTCTCTTAAAACTATAAATATATGTACAATATATCTTCATTAAAATGAAAGAGCTTTGCAGTTTTTGATAGTGGTAGTTTGTGCAGAAATGTGCAAAACTGTCCAAGAAATGTGCAGAGGTTCACAGTAGGAGATATGAAATTCATCAAAACTTATCAAAATTAATCAATAGGCCACCACCTGTAACTGCACCATAACTTTCCTGTTTTGCTGCTAATCGGATGGATTCAGAGTGCTGTTGAAATTTAGTCTACTGTTGCGTTATTCAGATCACCACACCCTCGGAGTGGCTGAGCATTTTCTGGGCTCTCTGTCTGGAGTGATGTAGCAGCAGGGTGCCAAGGACAGTGAATGTGCTTAATTTAACTTTTAGTTAATTCATATAGACATAGAATTCTCTAATTTTTTGAACAGCAGCACTAGAGCGTCAAATTTACGAATGCACCCATGGCCACCAGCTAGAGCAGTAGAGGTTGTCTGTCCCAATGTAACAACTTATTAAGTAAATAAAAAGACCACAAAAACGTATCTTGTTGGTTTCTTATTGTGTCAACAAGAAGATGCAAAGTCAGTATTATTATTTATTTATTATCTGTGTTAAAATAAAAAATAAATCCCTACATGCATATTTGGCTATGGCCACTAGGGGGTGAAGTGAGCCCCCTGAACCAACGCAAACTGCGCCTGTGGATGTAATGTTAATAAGTAAGCTTTAGAGGTTCTGGTGGGTAGATTTTTTATCTCTGGACTGAGCAAAACCAGCCGTTTCCCTCTGTTTCCTGTCTTTATGCTAAGCTAAGCTAACTGGCTAAGCTAACTGGCTCCTATTTACTGCACAAACATGAGAGTGGTATCGATCTTTCATTAAACTAATAGGCAAATAAATGTATTTCCCACAGTGGCAAACTATTCCTTTAATTTTTACTGTTCTGTCAGTGGGAAAGTAGTAAAATTGATAACAGAAGTAGCAGGAAATTGCAGCAGCTAACCACAAAATAAGTCGTGTGCTGTAATGCACCAATAATATATAGCAATATTAAAGAATGTACAAGAATCCGAGGGTGGATTTTTCCTTTGAATGTGAGATCTGGAGGCGAAGGCTGGTCCAGCGCTTCTTCTCTTCACTCACAAGATCTTATAGTTTTGAAATCTAAATGTAGAAATACCTCATAAGGCATGACAAACCAACTTTTCCATGCCAACTTGGGGGACCTTAATACCCTATCGTCCAAACTTAACCTCACAGCTGTCTCGCCGATCTTCCCAAACATATAACTCTATCACTAAACGGCTCTGAGAATAGCCAGAGCTGCAGGTTGTTCAAGAGTTTGGCAAACCCAACTTCCCCAACACACCCTCCCCTTGCATTAAACCTTGACTCTTGAACCCTCGAGGTGTCAGCACCCTTTGATGCTGGTTTGCACTGACACACACCCAGTTGTCTGGTTTGTCTCGCTCTTGTATGATCCGGCGCTCGTGGGTTAGCTATCTTTTTATGTGTTGAACCTTCTTCTGTTATGCAGTGGCTGTTTTTTATACCATTTTAATTGTGAATGTTTGTCTACGACACATTTTGAGTTTATACAATGATTATGCCATCATCCACACAATGTATATTTTCTTTTTTTTCTGTGTGATGCTGCTATTTATTTATTAAAATATTATTCTAATGTGTGGACAATTGTCTTATTATTATTATTATTATTGTTGTTGTTTGCTTTACGCCTTGTCTTGCTGAAGTCTCCAGTGGACCAGACTCTCTTCTGAACTTATAAACAAGTTATGGAACAGTCTCAAGACTTGAAAAACAAAACAGTATTTTGAACGTAGAAGCTTTTAAACTGGATTTAGCTCCCCCTGACTGGGCATTTCTTTCAACCCACCACGGAGCAGCGGTACAACAACCCTCCTGGTGTAAGTTACAGAACTGCTTAGCATTCCTCCCCATTGATGATTAGCAGCTACACACCTAGCTGTGAAATTTGGGGAACTTAATAATAACAGTACAGTATAGGCCCCAGCTCCCCGTGCTGGCCACCCAGTCCGCTCTACTATTATGTTCTTTTATTCTGCCAATCAGTGGGAGCTTTTATTCCAAAGTGCTTCACGGTGCCATGAAAAGAGCTGAACCTGGAGCTCATTAAACCCTTAGCCTCGGCTGTGTTTCAGTGCCATGCTCTATCCACTGAGCCGTGCAGGAAGTCCTCATGATATGAGTACCATACCCACTCTGGCAAACTGAGGTATGCTTTTTTTTTTAAGCATATGAGACAGTCAGTTTGATGCTAATTGCACAAAATGGCCATAAAAACTCCATATGCATTTCCAGCTGTACAACACTGAACGATGGTAGCAGGATAAGAAGGCCTTCAAGCCCAACAGGTAATGATTAAATGTACTATGTTACATTTTTGCATCATGATATACAGTTCAGTGATGCCTCTTCAGTTGATTTTTCTGCTAGATCTCTGCTGTGATTCGGATAGCCTACACAAAACCTGAACATGCACTTTGACTGCATATTTTGCGAAATTAAAGTGTGGAATTTAGTGGCATCTAGCAAGGAGGATTGCAACCAGCTGAAACTTCTCCCTTGTGTCAGGGAACTCCTGGTTAGAATTCCTTCAGTGTCCATTGTTATGGAGGTTTTTAGTGGGAGCTGAATTATCCGCAGAGATCTCTTCCTCTCTAAAACAAACAGACCAGGTGTCGTATTCACAAATATAGTAAGAACACTCTCAGAGAGCTCCTAACTGAGCCTAAAAACTTTCAGTAAGTAGTCCTAGTCTAGGAAGTTCTCTGAGCAAGGAAGGGACAGAAACTTTTAACTTAGTGAGGAGATGTGGTTGACCCTGTTGCTAGGTGTGATGCATTCTTTTAACAGATGTGATTGGTTGTCACAGACACACCCTTTTGAGAGGTGTGTGGACACCCAGTGGAAATGAAATGAACTCAAGACTGTGAAAGTGTCATTGTCAGTGTGATCACTCTGCTGATGGAAGGTTGAGACAGACTTAAGTCATCACTGCTGCACTGTTGCATTTTTACAGTTTCTCAAATATCTTAGAGTTTATCAGTTTATTTCTGGTGTTATAGGTGGGAAATGTGTGCATATCCCTAATGACATCAATGTTATCCCTGCACCATCTAATCTCTCCTCTGATTAAGAAACTCTTAAATCACTTAAGAGTCCTCCTCCCTACTCCTGACAGTTTTTCACCTTAGGAGCTATTTTAAGGTCTAAGATTCTCTGTGAATAACTTTATCCTTACAAGGACCTAGTGTTAACTTAAAGGGGAAATTCTGAGAAAACGTCACAATTCTAAGAAGTTTATTTGAATTTCGTCACCAGGAGCAACTCTTCGTACTAGGATGCTTTGTGAATACGGCCCCAGGTGAATAAATCAGCAGCTTCATGTTACAAACCAGTGTTTCTCTGACACTGTTGGGCTCATCGCAGACGGGCCGTCAGCCCAGCACCTGTTAATGTGTGCTCACCTTTTTTCTTCGATAAGTTGAGATCCAGACGTTTAAGAGGTTTTTATTGAGAGTCGAATTTTCTGCAAAGGTCTCTTTCTCTCCAGAACAAATGGACTCGGTGATAGAAACCAGTAAAATCAATGAATAAAGCAGAATAATGTGAAAAATCAGTGTGTGTGTGTGTGTGTGTTTTTTTCTTGTTGCAGAGGGGCCTCTAACTATCATGAATGGCCCTCTCTGGAGCAGGTGTTTAGTTTGTCCATTCTAGGCTACTGTAGAAACATGGTGCTGCAACATGGCAATCTCTGTAAGCAAGGACTAAAAGGCTCATTCTAAGGTAACAAAAACACAATTCTGTTTTTCAGGTGATTTTATACACTAAAGAAAACAAATTTCTCAGATAATATTCCATTACTGTCAGTTTATCCCCCTAAATCCTTCACACTGGACCTTTAAAAGACATAAATATAGGATAGAATAAAGATATAATTGAGTATAATAAATACTATAGAAATATGTACATATATCTGAATTAAAATGAAAGAGCTGTGCAGTTTTTAATATTTGTAGTTGGTGCAGAAATGTGTAAAACTGTCAAAGAAATGTGCAGAGGTTCACAGTAGGAGGTATAAGATTCATCAACAGGCCAACAGTAACTGTGCCATACATTTACTGTTGTGCTGCTGATCCGGTGGAAGTGCCAAAAGGTCGATATGGGTCATAAATGACTGACTGCACCTTTGGAAAAAAGCAGAGATCCTGTGCTATGCAGCCTACAGCCAGGTGTGATTACCACGTAAAGCCACAAGATGGCGCCACAGTAAGCCAAAGCTTACAACCACAGTCAATACACCGCTATAAAGCATCTCAGGAAGTCTCATAAAGTACTGCAGATAACAAGAAACACTATGTGACAGTTTCCAGCACTACTTTGTCTCCTTTTTGGTTTTCTATGCATGCTTAGATTTTAAAATCAGCTTGTTTCCTGCTCAGTGCTGGTTTGTAGCATCTTCTAAATCAGCACCATGGACAGCGACAGAGGAGTCAGCAACCTGCAGGAGGAGAGTCCTGTCTCAAACAGAAGGCAACAGCGCCGCTGGGTGGTGGAAGTGGAAAATGGCAGGACTCTGTGAGACAACCTATAGTGTCTGCACAGCACTGTCAAATGCATTTGTAGTTTCTCCCAAGGTGTTAATAGACCAAACAGCAACTACTGTATTTACTGTACACCAGGGACAGTCAACTTTCTCTGCCTGGGGGCCACTTTTGCAAAATGTCAGGAAGCCAGGAGCCAGTCAATAAACAAAAATGAATATTTATCAGTATACCACCTGGCACCCTATCTTGGGCCAGATTTGGCCC